GTCAGTGACGCCAGGACGATTTACCGGCCTGTCTTGTCTGTCTAGGCCGTGAAAAATCCCATGAAATCCTTTTGTGTTCCTGGAGTACTTGTGAGTTAAAAATCCGTACTGCGGTTTGAATGCGCGCGAAGAATGATCTCGGGTTGACAGAACTAGATGTGCTTCAGAGAAAGCATGCATTGCGTTATTCCCAGAATTCTGGTTCGTTCAATTCTTGAAACGGAATATTTTAAAATTATTTTAAGGCGGGAAGCGGCGAAGCAATCATCCTGGATTGTTGGCAAGGGACCCTTGACCCTGCAGTTTTCTTTTTGGGAAATGAATGGACCAGCATTCCTTTGGCTATCCATTGCTTGAAATGATTCATTATTTTTAAATATCCAGCATTATAACTGTAAAATGTAACTGAAAAAATGTATTTCTGTGTGCTGGTGATGTTTGTTGTCGAGAAACTTGAAGATTTCATGCGTTGTGTGTTTTAAGCAGGCCACTGGTTGTTCTCGATTGGCAGGAGAGGGTGCAAATCATATCAAATTCAAATTATTTATATTTTACATGTCTCTTTGAGTGCGATTACGGGCTTCCACAATGGGTTATTCGGGTTTATTCATGAAAGAAACTTTGTGTACGTTAAGGTTTAAAAATCCTCGGATTTATTTTACTCAATATGCTTCTCAGTCTGTGGATTTTTTTTTTTTAAATACGGAGTTGCTGCCTCTGTGATCCGACCTTGGATTCAAATGGGTAGCTTTTCCTCTAAAAAAAGTCCGTTAACCGAATAATATAACCCTATGGGGAAGCAGTTTCAAGTTCTGGGTAAAAGCTTTTTCGACGTTCTTGACCGTGTTACATTGATTTCCTCGTTTCTGAGACATCAACGTTGCTGCACTTCTATAGTTGAGGAAGTGAAGCAACTATTTGAACTCTTCATTTGACGTTTCTCATCGCGACTCGATGCAAAGCCATGAAGTTCCATCTGCTGTATTGGAAGCCTTCAAAAATTTCCAAGCTATTAAATTGAATTGAAGCCATTCCCAGTAAGTCTGAAGACCAAGGTTCTGGGGGCCCTCAGGCGTTATGAGAAAATCAGTGTAAGGATTCCTCCACACATTTCCAATTTTTTGAATCATTGAGCACTCAGAAACGAGTAAAACAATTTTCAGTGGATTCTGAGGTCTAGAAAAGTTCTTGTACGATTGGAAACTCTCGACCTTTTGGTGATGATAATTGTTCAAATAAACCGGAATATGTAGCTACGATTTTCATTTTAATTTGTGCATTTATCCTCCAAGCTGAGAAAAAATCTACTCGATTATGCAGGTGGACTATCTACAACGAAATTCAAGCAACTAAAAAAATAGTTGCAGGAAGAAATTTGTTGTAGAAAATCATTATAACATGAGGAGAGAACCCTTTGGGTCCGTAAAAGTATTCGTTATACAGAAAATATCGTTTTAGAGAGGGTCCACCTATATCGACTGGTAATTTTTTGGGTATGTGAAATGATTATGTTGTATGACGTTTAATCATTCTTTGCCAATTCATTTTTTTTTCACGAGGAAAATTGTTCGCGGCAGTGAACGGAGAGACATTTGGGATTTTCTATCGTCCTAGTCACCTAACATCGCTCTGCACAGGGGAAAAAAAAAAAAAAAAAAGGCTGCTTGTGAATGCGATCCTTGCATAACCGGATTTATTCTTTTTTCTGGAAGACGTTCCATGCAAAGAAGCGAAGCGATTTTCACGTGCTCAAGCTATCTCTTTGTGTGTCCCGCGTTAGAGACGAATTCGCAGCTCCTCGTGTATGTTTGAAAAGAAGTTCATCTTCTCCGTCATCCTCTCAACGGGGCGAAATGTTTGTCTCGTTATTCACACCTCGCCGTGCCAAAAAGGAATCTGGGTGAAATCGCCGCGTGTCGACGGCAGGGCGGGTCTGGTTTCTTTTTGGCCGATTGCCGTCACGGGTGTCTTTTCAAAAATCTTCGAGAAAAGACGGGGAAAGGTACAAAAAATAAGGTCCGCAAGTTGAATATTTTGTTGCGTTATATCTGATAATACAGTATTTTAAAAAATAAGTCTTTGACTTCCTCAGGAACGCCATGCTGTCCATCCATTGCATATGTGCAACATTTTTTGAATAACTTCTATTCTGGTTTCTAATGATCCTGTTTTGTTTCCAAGACGTGAAAAAAGAAAAGAAGGCCTATATAAATGCTCTTTTTAAATGGAGAGATCGTCAGTTGTGTTCTTACGTGCTCCCTTCGCATTCTTATCGATTTCGGGGGAAAGTGTGTCTCAAAATGATCAATTAAACGTTCCTGTAATTCCAGCAAAGTTCTTTTCAAAAATCTAGCTACGAAACAGCAGCTGAAAAACTTCGAAGGTATGCCCATCCTGAAAAAATGTAATTTGATACGGAGTACATACCTGACTCTTTCCTAATAAGGTTTATGAACGCAGAATTTGCGTCAAAACCGGAGACATTCGCAACAGGCCGAACATTATTGCCAGGGAATTTTAATGGAGTATTCTTTTATTATGATTCACGTTGAATTAGATTTTAGCGCTATTTCTACTCATCCGAAAGCTCTGGAAAGTTTTCTTTTCTGAAAACTTGAATGCTCTGCATCATGGCGATAATATTTTATCGATTTATTTTTGCCTTCGTTTTTAAAGATCAAAGTCTTCAAGTTACCGGAAGATGAATTGGCCTGTTCGCTGTTTTGATCAGATCAGATCAAAGGGAGGAGTTTCAAAGGCCTGCATATTTTTTCCCATCGTACACTTATTCTGTGCCAAGACAGTCGATAAATACAAAAATACGAACGATTCGATCAGCAAATAATGCGTGTGTACAAAAGCACCAGAATGAGATGATGTTTTGAAGGGGCACTCAATTCACGCAGGCGAACCTTTATGAGTAAAACTACAAGAGATCCGCTCGCAATTTTTTTTAGTTAGGGAGGATTCAAGTTAGGAAAAAAGCATTATCGTGAGGGGAAATAAATAATAATTATCTGTACAGAAAATTGCAATTAGGAATATTCTGGACCTTGAATATCTTCTGAAATTGAGTTGACAAGATGCTGAACTTCGAGGCGAGTATTACTTTGTACAATCATTTTTTTCTTTTTCTGTGTCAACAAAATAATAGCCAAAAGACCTCGTGAAAATTCGAATCATGGAGGTTTGATAAGGAAAGCCTTCCAAATAGGGCGTTTGTTGATGCTTCGTTTCTGATGGAATTCAGTGACTAGAAAAAAGTTCGACATGGAGAGGTATTCAACTCAAAGAGGCTCAGCCATTGAGGTTCAACTGTTATTTTATTCGTCTTGGTCATTCATGGGAATTAAAATATTTATATTTTATCCAGTAAAGCTCTGAATGTGAATATCTTTAGATTGTGCAGCATTTCATCCGAATAGTCCTTTCTGCAAAATTGCCTCGTTTTTGTTTGATACTCGGGGAAATTATGTTTGGGCGGGTGCTGTTTTGAGCACGCTGCTCTGTGATCCGCCGTTTCTCGAACCGCTCAACTAAACTGCAGTACAGTATGTGGTGACGGAAATACAGTACATTACTGCACTCAGCTTTGGAAAGCTTGAATTTACTCCAGATACGCCAAAGCAACTGACATTGTCTTCGCTATGTCCCGAAGAGGAACTAAGACATCGTCATTAACACGACGGAGGTTTCGTTTCCTGCGGTACTTGGTTGTTTCCAGGTGGCTTCCGCCTCTGTTTCCGCAAGCCGAGTTCTTTGTTTTCACTACAGTGGCGTTCTGGGTGACTAATGCTGGGTCGGGTTTCCTTCCTGCGAACCGAGACTTGTTTCCTGCTGAGCGCGACATTGGGGGGTCATATGTTATAGCCCGGGGAATTTATCGCGTCGCTGTCCCATGGAAGCTTTTTTTCTTTTCTTTTTCCTCCACCTGCATCCAACGAATATTTTCCACCCCTGCTTTCATATTCCGTCGTGAGAAGCTGTGCCTGTGAAATCAGCATAACTTTCTGCGTGAAGAAATGAGCGGAGTGTTTGATTCTACCCGGAAGTATGTCTTACCTGAGGAGGATGTACAGTACTGTACTTCGGAGTATGTCCTGCATTTTTTTTCGTGGTGCGGATTCATCGTCAAATTGAATGCCTTCACTTCGCGAAAATCTACCGAAATGTTTCATCTTTTCGGACTTTTCTCCACCCACGCAAGCAGGCACTGCAAATTTTTCACTTCCTGGCGACCAGAACAAATTGAATATCAAATACTGTACTGAATGAAAACGTTCGGCTTACGGAAGTTATGGCGATGGTTCGCAAGACTTCGGCGCCACATCCGTGTCCTAGAAATTAATGCGTGAAAGAAGCCTCAAAAAGGAAGGAAAGACACTGATCTCGTTTTTAGAAAGACGTTTCTCCTTAATTAGAGAATCTTCAATTTGAATTTCCAGACCTTTGATATGTAAAAAAAAATGCGTCATTCTTTAAGGTAAAATAATATCCCACAGACTGATTTGACGAATTTTTCAGTGGAACGAATTTCATCTCAAGTTCTCGTAGCAGGATTCTACCTGTAGTGCTGTGCGGAAATGGCTTCTGTACCGTATTTACCCCAATACCACGCGCACCTTTACTTTCTCAAAATGAGAGGGAAAAAAGGGTGCGCGTCATGAGCTGAAATACAATTTTTGAAATATGTAAGTTTAGGTGCACGTCACACGTGAATGTAATGGGACATTTTTGACTGGAACGTTTTGAAAATTAAAGCACTTCGAAATTAATTGAATCCAGGTTGGATTCATGAATTCAAGTGTGGATTCGGGTGTCTCTTCTTTTGAAACGTTGTAGTTTTTCAGTCACAGAAAATGGGGTTCGCGTCTTACTCGGGGGTAGGATTTTATCACAATTTTAGGGTGCGTGTCTTGCGCAAGGGCGCGTGGTACTCGAGTAAATAAGGTAGTTGGCGAAACTTTCAATCCAAGTTTTCCTCCTTTTTTTTTCCACAGGATCCGAAAGCCAGTTTCGACGTGAATGGATTCGACGATGACCCAGAGCCACGATACGACATGGCCGATTCGAATCGGCACGGGACTCGGTGCGCCGGCGAAGTCGCAGCAACTGGCAACAATTCCATCTGCGCCGTTGGGGTCGCCTTCAATGCCCGTGTCGGAGGTGAGTTTTTCAATATCCTTGTATCGATGCGTATTTTGGTTGAATTTTAAATTTCCTTAATTCTGGATAGGTCTGTTCTCTTATTGTAATGATCCGTTCTGGTCTTTCGCGATGAATTATGAAGTACGCCGATTTCTTGTTATAATGACCGGATGCCATTTTCCCGGGAAAATGCGGAAATAAAATATTCGAAAGGCGTGCACAAACTGATTTAGAGTTCTGGATGAAATACCTTGATACTCGGCTTGAATTGCCACAAGCCTCGATTTTCGTTACCTTGAATCCTTATTCTATTTTTTTTCAAGCGCGTGATTAAAATTTACGAAGTACGGAAGTTTGTTTCTTCTCCATGAATAGCAATTTGGGCCCGGTTGAAAGGAGTCTGGACAACTGGAATTCTGCTGTATTTGAATCTGATCTACTTAAATACCAGCTTTCTATAATCATTACCTTCTGTTGCCTCGTTGTTTTTGCCAAGAACTTACAGTATTTGGTGGTTTTTTCAAAGTACAGCACAGTATCTTGGAAATGGCGGAAAACAATCTCCGGATGCTCATCTAAAGATATACGGTATCTGAAATGGAATTGAGTTTATGTCAAAAAGGGTCAAGTAAAACAGGTGAACTCTCTCTCTGCGACGATCTTGTCTGGAACGATTTTCTCTGTATAACAAATATTTTTTGGTCCCGATGGGTTCTCTCCTCATGTTATACGGGCTCTCTACAAATAATATTTTCAGGTTGCTTGGGTTTCGCTGTGACTGAGTCCACCTGTGCAATTAAAACATTAAAATAATACCCCATAATTGAAGTTTTACGTTTTTCAATGTAATTTTTTTTACAGTGAGTGCGAAAAATATCCCTCAGGGGGCTTTGGTAACATGTCCACACTCAATGGTTCGTAATTTCTGACGTGATTGCGCATACCTCACTGCATATAAACTTTTTGGACACCGAGCAGTAGGAAAAGAATGATAGTAATGTTCTGCTGGTCCAACTTGACATTCGTGTGTCAATTGAAAGTTCCGTGGAAATGTGGAGTGGTAGGAATGAAAGGTGTATAATAATTCCCCGATAGCGCCTTCATTGTCACCGTTGATGGTTATCGATTCCTGTTCAGTCGCTTATTTACCGGGTTCTTGCGCACGTGAGTGAAAAGGGCCGCGTTTGTTGTTGCCGGGAAGGGCCCCCTCAATAAACCTTTCGACAAAGGCAATGGTATCCCCGCTGACGGGATGCTCTTGAGCTCCTGTGCATTGAGTTGAAGTGCGTCGAAGCTCATCTTTTCATGGGGGAGATGCGTGAAGATGGCGAAGTGGCTCCCACACGTGTGTCGCTGCTTTTTCTGGGTCCGTGTAGTGTACCCCCCCTTGGGAGCCTTTGGTTCCCCGGGATTTTTTCTTCCCTCGGCGCGGGAAGAGAACAAAGCTGCTGGGGTTTAATTTCAAGCCGCGGATGACGATGAATGACGCCGATGGAGCGACGGGCAGATGAAATCCCGCCGGGTTCGTCTGCAGTCTGGGATCCTCCCCCGCCCAGGGGGGTTTTCTGGGATGGCAACCTTTCGGTCGGGAAGTAAATTGGGTCCAATTCATCACGCCGTTGCGGGGCTGGTTTGATTTTCACGGGGAGTCGCCTCGGGTTTCCTTTACAAGTTAGTAGTGGGTGCGGAACGGAAGCCGATGGCGGACAAAGGAGCTCTCGAGATCCTGAAAATCCCCCTCCCACTCCTGCATCCGTCCATCTTCCACCCCTTTTCCACGACCCCCTTCGGATATAGAATCCATCAAAAGTTCTAGCGAGGACCCGGCAACGTCTGTAAATATGAAAAAGGCTTCGTTCGGTCAGTGCGTGATTGCAGTAACTCGCCATGACGTCGAGAGACTTGGGATGTCGATTTTCATTGCGACTCGCTGCAGTCAGAGAATCCGTTCGACCGGCTTGCTGATCCTCACAAATAATTGTTTTCTTCCCCCCTTTGCTTATTGTTTGTGACAGTCCTTTCGCAACGAAGGCGGATTTCCGCCGCCTTTTCTCATCTTCTTTAGTATCTGCTCACAGGTCACCTTAACGTTGCTTTATTACATAAGGACGTCCTTCGATAGGCTAAGTAAAGCGTAGTCGAAGACAAGACTAGAGTGACCGGACGAAGACTATGCATGAATGAAGACCAGTGCTGCCCAACATACGGCCCACGGGCCATATTCGACCCGGAGAGACTCTTCATCCATCCCGCGGTCCCTTTCCCATAATTTTCAATGTGGCAGCCACCAATATTCGCAATGCATGGTATATTGAAAGATTAATTTAAACTGTCTGCGGCGGAGTTGTTGTGCCGATGAGAACTGAGAAGGGGGAAAAAATAATTTTGAAACAAGGCCTGAGTTGGTAAAAAATCTGATTTATTTATTTTTCTTCCAGCAGAAAATTTTGGCTCAAGAAAAAAAAAAGAATGCCTCACTGGGTAATGTTTTTTCCTGCATTCCTAGTATAGGAGCACTATTAAAAATTGCAGATTCATCAAAACCCTCAAGTTAGGCCTTAGCAACCGGGGCATTTTGGTCGAACCAAAATGCTCGTGCCTGCCAAAAATCCCGACTTTGCTGCTCATCTGAAGGTTGAAAATTCAAAATGTTTCTCCGCCGTTCAAAAATTCTATAACGCTCCGCTTGTGATTCAATGCATAGCACTGAATCAAATTTAAAACTTTTCCTCTCCATAAAAGGGAAAATTTGGAACCTCAAAAGTTGTCCAGTTCTTTGCAGCTCTGCAATGTGGACCTTGATCACACCTGAGTTGAGCGGCACTTAATTGTATAGGTTGTCCATTGAGAGATAACTCATGGTTTTTGCTGCGTATTAAATCAATGCATGAAACATTCCTTGAAGAGCATCCAGAGAGGTGGATAACATTTCACGGCGGGTTAAAAAAAATATTTGAAACCATGAAGAGGTAAATATAATCATGGTTCATGTCATTTTTTAATAAATCCATCTCGAACCCCATCACCCCTCAAGTGCCACGGTAACATTGCTCCTGCACATCGAGAAGTAAAATAAGATTATGAGCCATTATCGAATTAAGATGAAGTTTTTATCTCCCAGTTATTACATCTGCCGAAAGTGATACGATTGGCCATCGCAATGAACAATCGAGGTAAAAGTTATCGGATGAATTCCAAGTCCTCAGTGCAATGTATTCAAATGCGATAGATTTTCAGTGCCAAGACTGGGTTTTTAAAGTGACGGAAAAATGTTAAAAAGCTGCTCATGAGAAATCAAGATGCAGTAATATTTTCCGTCAATTATGGGAGACTATACAATTTTGTCGCTCCAAATTTTAAAACTGCATTGTTCTCGGTATGTGGTCTCTTTCGCCGAGGCATGGGGTAGGAATGTGGAAATTTCGTGAAATCCTATTTTTCTCCCGCGATTTTGGTTCCCGCGCCGTCGTTTCCAGTCGTCATTCCGACGCGGATTTATTCTCGTGCTAATCCGGTCCACGTGGCGGGCGTTTTTCAGAATTTCTGGCTCGTTCATTCCGGAGGATTAATGCGAAGACAAGTTCTTTTAATTAGTTCCAGTGATGTCAGACTAATGCTGCTAACGTAAAAGTCGACGAGAGTAATCTTACGAAAATCTACTGTGCTCCGCATTCCTTTTTTCATTCATATATGCGACCTCATTTCTTTTACAATGGAGTAATGGTTCTAGGTCTTATATTAAGGGCATGCTTTGCATACTTGCCAGTTAATTACGCGAAGCATCTCATCTCTACAATCAGTCCCNCCCTTTTCCACGACCCCCTTCGGATATAGAATCCATCAAAAGTTCTAGCGAGGACCCGGCAACGTCTGTAAATATGAAAAAGGCTTCGTTCGGTCAGTGCGTGATTGCAGTAACTCGCCATGACGTCGAAAGACTTGGGATGTCGATTTTCATTGCGACTCGCTGCAGTCAGAGAATCCGTTCGACCGGCTTGCTGATCCTCACAAATAATTGTTTTCTTCCCCCTTTGCTTATTTTTTGTGACAGTCCTTTCGCAACGAAGGCGGATTTCCGCCGCCTTTTCAGTAGAAGAAATCATAGACGAGTGTCCAGTGGAATTGCAACGGAATAATGTATTCCTGCAGGAAGCTATCCGATTCATTTCGCATCAGCTTCTGTTCTGATCTCACTGGCCTGCTTCTGATACGTACGATGAAGACCAGTGCTGCCCAACATACGGCCCACGGGCCATATTCGACCCGGAGAGACTCTTCATCCATCCCGCGGTCCCTTTCCCATAATTTTCAATGTGGCAGCCACCAGTAGTCGCAATGTACGGTATATTGAAAGATTAATTTAAACTGTCTGCGGCAGAGTTGTTGTGCCGTTGAGAACTGAGAAGGGGGAAAAAATAATTTTGAAACAAGGCCTGAGTTGGTAAAAAATCTGATTTATTTATTTTTTAATATATTATTATTTTTTAATATATTATTATTTATTTATATATTTCTTCCAGCAGAAAATTTTGGCTCAAGAAAAAAAAAGAATGCCTCACTGGGTAATGTTTTTTCCTGCATTCCTAGTATAGGAGCACTATTAAAAATTGCAGATTCATCAAAACCCTCAAGATAGGCCTTAGCAACCCCGGGCCATTTTGGTGAATTTTGGTCGAACCAAAATGCTCGTGCCTGCCAAAAATCCCGACTTTGCTGCTCATCTGAAGGTTGAAAATTCAAAATGTTTCTCCGCCGTTCAAAAATTCTATAACGCTCCGCTTGTGATTCGATGCATAGAACTGAATCAAATTTAAAACTTTTCCTCTCCGTAAAAGGGAAAATTTGGAACCTCAAAAGTTGTCCAGTTCTCTGCAGCTCTGCAATGTGGACCTTGACCACATCTGAGTTGAGCGTATAGGTTGTCCATTGAGAGATAACCAGTTTTTGCTGCGTCTTAAATCAATGCATGAAACATTCCTTGAAGAGCATCCAGAGAGGTGGATAACATTTCACGGCGG